TAAATGAAGTCCCTTCCCCAGGGCTTCCTCTTCTACCCAAGGTCCTCATCTGTCTGGATGATGTTCTTAAAACACTGCTTTCCTTATGTCCCCTGTCAGTCCCAAGAATGATTCCACTTTGGAGGCTTTCCCAAATCAGTCCCTATTTAATCTTCATATACTTTCTTCCCCAAGTGCGGAGCTAGTCAAATCTACTTGTACCGTCAGCATGTAAGCTTCTTTGTTTCTGGGCCTGACTTGTGCCGCTGGTCCTGCTGGGAATGCCTCTTCTCATCGTGTGGAGTGTTTCCAGGCTCTTCCTCCAGTGAGGGCCTGCTTATGTCTCACACACTTCACAAGGCTCCCACAGTTATGGTTATGCCTACCTGGTGGCTTTTGCCTTTCTTTGAGCTTCTGCTTCAGTGAGATTGGACCACACATTTTATGAGGCAGTAAGTAAACAACCAAGCTATGGACCGTGTCTGGAACATCCTAGTTGCACTGGCCATCTGACAGCTCCTGGAACACACTCTTTTTTTTTTTTATTAAGGTGAGTAGATGAGGTATCTTGCTATGTTGTCCAGGCTGGCCTCAAACCCCTGGGATCTGAGCTCAAGGGATCCTCCTGTGTAGCTGGGACTACAGGCACACACCACCAGGCCCTGCTCTGGAACACACTCATTTCTATCCCACCTCTTTGTTTTGTGCCTGCTATCCCTCTTCCTGGAAGGCCCTTCCTCCAGCTCATCACAGCTGGCTCCTTCTTGATATTCCGATCTAGTGTCAATGTCACTTCTTCGGAGAGACCATCCCTGACTCCTATCAGAAATAACTCGCTTGCTTCTGTCACAGCGTCCTGCTTGTTTCTTTCAAACCCTTTATCCCTTTATCAAACCCTTTGTTTCTTTCAAACCCTTTCAAGCTGCTGTCACCTCCTTTCGTTAGACATTGATTGCCTGTCTTCCTCACTGCATCTAACCTCCGGAAGAGCCTGTCTTGTTCACCTGTTTATCCCTGGCACCTGCAGAGGACTAGGGTTCTCCATAAATGTTTGCTGAAGGAACTGATGAGCTAGGACAAAATGGAGAAGGAGAAGGAAGACGTCACAAGTGTCCTTTGGATTTCTGGCTTGGGGACTTGAGGTGATGGCAGGTAGTGCTACTTGCTAAGCTTGGGAGCTCCGGAACAGCATGTGTGGGTGGGGTAGGGGGAACAGACAGAATGATTTCTCTTTTGTAACTGTTTGAGTTGCTTCTAAGCTGTTGAGGTATAGACTGTCTGGAGGTATTTAAACACATGGGCCTGGAGGTCAGGAGTGATGCTTGGGCATCATCCAAATAAGAATAGTTAGCATGGTTAGATATGCAATAAGTTGCCTGGGGCCATTTGGCCAATAAGTGGCCAAGCCAGGATTTGAACCCAGGCAGTCTGTTTCCATGACTGTCCTGAGAAAGGCATGTAGGGACAAAACCCAAGATAAGCTTCCTGCCTTTGAGGAGCTTATTGTTTACTATGGGAAATAAAATATAAACACTCATAATTTACCATACTCTACAGGCTTGGCCCCTGTTAGTTTCAGTTGGCCCTTATCCAAGCTCATCAAGTATGGCAGTTATTTGGTTAAAATGGCAAATCAGTGTTAGCCACCTCCTCCTTTGATTCCAGAAGACTCAGGCTCATGTGACCTTGATAATTCATTAAAAGGAGCTAAGGATGTTGGAAATGCAAAACCGTCTCCTAGGTCATCATTTTTTTTGGAAATATGATTCATAACCCTCTGGGACTGGAAAACAGGAAGCTGAAAGATCACAGTAAAAGTGAAAGGAGAAGGTGATTTCTAAATCTGTTCAAAAAAGAGGAGTCATCCAGGTGGGGATGCCACGGGATTCCCAGAATGATGACTGCAGGGGATTAGAACATGGGTTGAGAAATACACAAGCAGCAGAGGGTAAAAACCCACCTAGTGCACTGAAGTGGATAATGTGAATAAAGAGCGGTGGTGGTCACAGTTCGTTATGGGCTCTAGCAGGCAGGGCTTTGTGCAGACTGTGACTTTGGGCAGAAGCCAAGCCAAGCCTCTACTCTTTGAGGGCTGCTGGTTAGAGATGTTTTAATCGCCCCCTCTTCACCTCATTGGTGAGGAAGGGATTCTAGTTCCCACCCCAGGGTTAAAGGGATGGCTGAACACATGACACCCAATGCTGGTCAGATGAGATTGGCAGCAATTTATTATCACGTATACTAACAGCTCAGAGGAGAAAGACACTACGTGTCATACAGGGCCATGCAAGAGTTGTGCTCAGGAGCAGAATGAACAGCCAGAGCTGGTGGGAGGCAGGCTTTGTTGCTTCAAGAGGGTGAGGTGCCCATAGGAGGATGTGATTGGCTCATTTGGACAATTCCATGGGCTGGCAGGAAACTCAAACTCGCTACTCAGCAATAAGCAGGAACTGCATCTGGTCTGTTTGATAAGGAAGGTTGTTTGGATGATCTTTTCGAAGGGAGGACTTGAGAGAGGAACATGTGGTCAGGCCATTCCAGGCACTCCTGATTTCACCAGATGTCAAGGCAGCACATAATATTGGACCTTAAATTTTAGGCCTTATCCCACCTCAGTGGTTCCTGTTGAGTGCCTCTCATCTCTCAATTTAGTACACTCCTGCCCTGGATCTGAACTCAACAAGCAGTCTCACCCCTACCAACTTGGGACAGGAGCTATTCTAAAATTCAAGGTGCACCGAAGCTTTTCCTCCTTTTTTTCTTGCTACAAGTCTTTTCATGACTTTCCAAGAGGAAACCGAGGGAAGAAAACAGAACCATTCCATTTGGCTGCATATTTTCATGAAATTAAAATTAAAACCATATCTGCCACCACTCCCAGTTCATTTTCCACACAGCAATCAGAATCATCTTTAAAAAACCAAAGATGATCCTATCAGGCTCTTGCTTAAAACCCTCTAATGGCTCCCCATTTGTGTTAGGATAAAGACAAGCCCTTTGCCATGGCCTGCAAGGCTCTATGCAGCTTAGCCCCTGCCTGCCTGTCCAGCCTTGACTCATGCCTTACTTCCCTATACTATTTATGGTACAGTCACACAGATCTTCTTTAAGGTCTGGAAACCTGCTATGTTTTTTCTGCCCCAAGACCTTTGCACATGCTATTCTCTCACCTAAAATGCTCTTCCCTCCCCTACTCACCTATTTAAATAGTAATTATCCTTCAGATTTCAGCTAAAACATTCTTTACTCAGGTAGGACTTCTCTGATCTTTCCAAATAGGTCAAACTCCCCTATTATAAGCTCTCAGAGCATCATTTGCCTTCTTCCCTGTGAATATTCATCACAAGTTGCAAAATTACATTTGCTTGAATTATTTGATTAATGTCTATCTCCTCTTCCATGAGGACAGCAACCTTATCTATGATTGATCTCCAGTGAGTGGCTCAATGACTGTTGTTGCATGAATGTGTCATTGAACAAGTTAACTATGATTTGGGGACCTTCTGAAAAAAGGAAGTAAAGAGAAGATTTAAATTGTATATCATCTTTTTATTATCAAAACAGTTACGTTAAGAACATCTACATTGCCAAGCTAGAATCAGGAAGCATTCAAAAACTTGTTCCCTTTTAAAAAGAGAAATGCAAGCCCATTACCAATTCTACATGCACTCAGCCATCTATAGCAAGAAAGTATTAATAGATCTCTTCTGCCATGGAGACAAAGCAGTGAATACCGTGCAATTACCATATCAGAAGAATGTGCTGAAGTATGAGAAAACAGATCCTACAAAATGCGACTCTCATTGCTTATAGCGATGACATTATTTTATGCAGTAGACTAAAAATAAGAATACGAACACGGTCCCTGTTATTGTAGGAAGTGTCAGGCATTTTACACACACAGTTGAAGTAACACATTACCCTCTTGCCCAGAGCATCAGTGGAGAAGGTGACGGGAAACAGTAGATGGATCCAGTGATTATTTGTCATTCCAAGTTCTGACTCCATCTGGGGCCTCACTGAGGTGACAGAAACACTAGGAATAAGGCACCAAAACTGAAGGTATAAAAGCCCAGAGGCCATCAGAATGGAAACCTATAACAGTTACATCGAATTCTTGGAGTAGAAACCCTTCAATTCCAAAAAAATCATACATCATACTTTTCAAAAATATCTCTAAAAAGGTAGTAAAAATGAAAGCTCAATCTGGCATAATTAACTTGATTCCTGAGTATAAAGCCAGATAAAATCCTTTATCAAAAAAAGGGTTTTGGCCGGATACAGTGGCTCATGCCAGTAATCCTAGGGCTCAAGCAGGAGGATTGCTTGAGCCCAGGAGTTCAAGACCAGCCTGAAAAAGAGCAAGACTCATCTCTACAATAAAAATAAAAATTATCCAGCCGTGGTGGCACACACCTGTAGTCCCACCTACTCGGGAGGCTGAGGCAGGAGGATCGCTGGAGCCCAGGAGTCTAAGGTTGCAGTGAGCTATGATGACACTGCTGCACTCTAGCCTGGGAGACAGAGGGAGACCCTGTCTCTACAAAAAATTTTTATTCATGCTATTTTACATTAATGCAGTAGAAAGCTGCTGGTTTTTAAAAAGTATAAAAATGGTAACTCTTAGAGTATGTGTTAAAAACTCACAGATCGTTCATCAATCACAGTATTTAATAGTGGTCTATAAATCACTCCTAGTTGTTGTTTAGAAACAGATAAATAGCCAACTCTAGTGGCAAAACCATGAAAAGGAAATCCTAAGGTAGAATCCTAAAACCCGTGACTATTGATTTTCATATTCTTAGTCGTTGGTATATAGAAATGGTGAAGGTTTGGGTGTAGGGTGCTTTTGAAGCAGCATCCAGACTATATCAATTCTAATTGGCTGAAAAATACAGGATGTTGAAGGCAGAAAGGCAGCTTTTTGGTCATTTCCAGTCATAAAATTGTGATGAGGATTGGAATGTACTAGGTAGCTTGGCAGTTAGATTTGATAGATTCTGGTTTGGTGAGTTGCCTGATTTGGTCTGGTTTGGTGAGTTACCTGATTTGGTCTGCAGCCCTTCTAGAACTATCTAGTAGAAACCTAAGTTCCTGAGGGGCTCCAACATGGGTCTGGGCTCCCAAAGAACCTTGAAACCAGGGAAGGTGTGGGCTGAGTCTATGTCCCCATTCATAAGGCTTGTTCTTTGTCCCAGTTATCTGTTGCTGTGTAACAAACAACCTCAAAGTTTAGTGACTTAAGTCAGCAATTTGGCTTTCTGAATTGACAGGACAGTTCTCACTTGGTGTGTCTCATGCAGTTTCAGTCATATGTTAGTAGGGCCCAGAATTACCTGAAGACTTCTCGCCCATGTTGGGTGACTAGGCTTGGGTGGCTTGAAAGCTGGGGCTGGCTGGTCAGACACTCTCCTCTCCACATGGCTGCTTGAGCTTCCTCACAGCAGGGCGGTCTCAGGATAGGCAGACTTTTACACGGGGGATGTTTTCCCCAACAGCAAGAGTTCCAAGGCACAGGAAGTGGACGCTGCCAGCCTCTTAAAACAAAGATCCTGCCACTGACACAGCATCATTTCCACTATTGGGCAGAACAGCCAGAGCTGCCCATACTTAAGGGAAGGAAATAAAACCCTTGGGTCTTGAGGGATGAGTGTCAAATAATTTGTGGCCACTTTTAATCTTTCACATTCTCCAGCCAGGACCAAAGGATTTGTCCTCAGTTGGACATTATCCTAGTCTGACCTATACTGAGATGTTTTGCATCCATGTAGCTCTTTACACTTTAACAAGACAGTGCATGATTACTGTCTCAGTTTGTCCTTACAATATCTCTGAGATGATAGGTTGGGTAATGAAGAGACAGAGGTACAAAGGTTAAAGGCCTAGGGTTACACAACTTCCTAGGGACAGAATTGAGACTTATATCTGAATCTCTTCACTGTCAGTCCATGCAAAGGAATTCTGGTTTGTTTGTTTAACCAGGTCACTCTGCTCTCAGACACATATAGAGCTATATGAGATGAAAGCACATTTTCCTGTGGCTGAAAATTTGGCCACAGATCTTTGCAAGTGAAGTTCAAGGTGATGGCAAATGTAACCCTAATATGCCTGCTGCAGCCCCATGCTGTCAGTAGGGACTCTTGAAGCCACTGTACTTCCCTTTGCTCTTGGGAAACTCCTTCCGAATCCTCCAGCGGCAGCAGCTGGGTAGGATGGCAAAATCAGCCATGTCCTGGGAGCCGAAGCGCCAGGTGGTATAGCACCTGTAGGCACAGTGCCTCAGCCGGCTATTGGTGGGATCCTCCTCTAGCTCCAACAAGGGCTCCTGGTAGAGCAGGAGGAACTGCAGGACATGTCTGGACAGGACGAGCTTCCTGAATGGCTGTGAGGTGGTGATGCAAACCCCTGGCTTTTTCCGGCAGCATAGCTCCTCCAGGCACCTGTGGCTCTCGGGGAGTTGGGACGGGAGGCAACTTCCACACTGGCACCACTCCGGGCTGTCCCTGGATCTAGGAGTCGCCTGTTCATTAAGCAGCTGCATCTCCTCTGGTTCTCTAGGAATGGAGGGTGGGTCGTGGAGAGTCAGGGGGAGCTTGGACAAGTCCGTGAAGTCCAGTGGGGGTCTCTGAAAAAGTCAAGTGTCCAAATCCATCAGCAATGATGACCCTCCAGGCTCTAGGTTCTTTAATTTTATCATTAACTTATAAAATTACATTTAATATTACATTAATTGTAGTAGCTATCATTGATTAAATGTGTGGATCAGGACCATGCTTGTGTTTTGTAAGCATTGCCTCACTTAAGCCTTTGAAGAACCTCGTGAGATATGTATCCTTGCCTCCACTTTACAGATTTGGAAAGTGAAGTTCAGAAAAGCTAGGCCTCGGTGCAGGTATCACCTGCACTGAGGTATCACGTCTTGTCCTGACCACCCTGTCGAGTCACTTTCCTCCCACGTGATTCTCTTGTCATATCACGATATTCTACATTCTTCATAGGACCTATCATCATCAAAAATGATCTTATTAATTTATACATTTACTTCATGGTGATAATTCTTCCATATGAAAGCAGGGACCCTGTCTGCTTTGTTTGTTGCTGTATCCCCAATACCCAGCACAGGAGAGACAGTAAATATTTGTTGACTTATCTCCACTCTCTCCTTTCCCTCCAGGCTCCTCTACTGGCAAACCTATTTATTATCTTCCAAAGGAAGTAGCCATAATTGCCACACCTATTCTTTGTGACATACACCTTCCTTCACTGGGTAAAGATGGCCCAAATCAAGGACATTGGACTGGATAGTTCTTGTACAAAAGCGGGAAGAACCCACGTGTCCCTCAACTGATGAATGGATAAACAATGTGTTATGTCCATATGATGGAATATTATTTGGCCCTAAAAAGGACGGAATTACTGATCCATGCTCCAACATAGATGCACCTTGAAAACATGAAGCTGAGTGAAAGAAGCCAGACACAAAAGGCCACACATTGCATGATTCCATTTATAGGAAATGTCCAGTATAGGCAAATCCATAGAGACAGAAAGTAGATTAGTGGTTGCCAGGGAACGGGGGGAATTCAGTGTGGGGAGTGGCTGCTTAATGGATATGGGGTTTCCTTTTGGAGTGATGAAAAAGCACTGGTACTAGATAGTGGTGATGGTTGCGTGGCATTGTGAATGTACTAAAATGTCACTGAATTGTTTAAAGTGGTTAAAATTATAAATTTTATATTATGTGTATTCCACCATACACAAATGCACACATGCACACAAACTAAATACAGTCACATGCTACATAATGAAGTTTTGGTCAGTAATGGATCCATATACAATGATGTTCCCATAAGATTATAATGGAGCTGAAAAATTCCTGTCACCTAGTGACATCACAGGTTTTAAAACATCATAGTGCATCATTTTTTTTTTCAAAATGAAAATACATTTATTAATCCCTGTGAAAAACATAATATATTATAACCAGAATACCCACTTTTTTGATAGGGAAAAATTTCATTAAGGAGCTTGGCACTGGTTTTCACCTCCTCACATGTTATCATCTGGGTACATTTGAAATGCTGGCAAGTAGGCAGGCCACATGGGGCCTACTCCTGGGGTTTTCGTCACTGTCACAGAGGGTTTAGGCAAGGGGACAATGTGAACAGAGGTGCATGGAGAAACTGCATGGGTGGCAGGTGGGGAATGACAAACATTTAGTCACATAGGGAGAGGCAAGGATGCATTTCTTGTGTGCTAGTGATGATGCTGGTGTAAACAGACATACTGTGCTTCCAGTTGTGTAAAAGTATAGCATGTAGCCTGGGCAACATAGTGAGACCCTGTATCTACAAAATATTTAAAAAAAGTAGCCAGGCATAGTGGCATATGCCTGAAGTCCCAGCTACTCCAGAGGCTGAGGCAAGAGGATCTCTTGAGCCCTGTAGTTCTAGGTTGCAGTGACCTATGATTACACCACTGCCCTCAGCCTGGGTGACAGAGCTAGGCCCGGTCTCTAAAACAAAAATATAGTACATACAATTATTTACAGTACATAATACTTGATAATGATAATAAACAAGTATGTTATTGGTTTATATATTTACTATACTTTTTATTGTTATTTTAGAGTATACTGCTTCTCTAATATAAAAAAAGTTAACTGTAAAACAGCCTCAGGCAGGTCCTTCAAGAGGTATTCCTGACATAGGAGACGAAAGCTCCATGCATGTTATTGCCCCTGAAGACATTCTAGTACAGGCGTCCTCAAACTACGGCCTGTGGGCCACATGCAGGTATTTTTGCTCGTTTGTTTTTTTACTTCAAAATAAGGTATGTGCCATGTGCATAGGAATTTGTTCATAGTTTTTTTATAGTCTGGCCCTCCAATGGTCTGAGGGACAGTGAACTGGCCCCTGTTTAAAAAGTTTGAGGACCCCTGTTGGTAGGACAAGATGTAGAGGTGGAAGACAGTGATATTGATGATCCTGACCTTGACCCTGTGTAGGCCTAGGCTAATGTGTGTGTGTCTTAGTTTTTAATAAAAAAGTTAAAAAAAGTTTAAAAAAATTAAAAACAGAAAAAAGCTTATAGAATAAAGATATAAAGAAAAAATATTTTTGTACAGCTGTATATGTTTGTGTTTTAAGCCAAGTGTTATTACAAGAGTTGAAAAGTTTCAAAAAACTAAAAAGTTTATAAAGTAAAAAAGTTACAGTAACTTAAGGTTAATTTATTATTGAAAAAAGAAAACTATATTTTTATAAATTATAATAGCCTAAGTGTATAGTGTTTTATAAAGTCTGCAGTAGTAAACATAATGTTCTAGGCCTTCACATTCACTTACCATTCACTCACTAACTCACCCAGAGCAACTTCTAGTCCTGCAAGCTCCATTTATATTTAAGTGCCCTATACAGGTGTACTGTTTTTTATCTTTTATACCATATTTTTACTGTACCTTTTCTATGTTTGGAAATGTTTAGATACACAAATACCATTATGTTTTATTTGCCTACAGTAGTCACTACAGAAACATGTTGTATAGGTTTGTAGCTTAGGAGCAATAGACTATACCATATAGCCGAGGTGTGTAGCTATACCACCTAGGTTTGTGTAAGCATGCTCTGTGATGTTAGTATGACAGAATTGCCTAATGATGTCTTTCTCATAACTTATCCTAATTGTTAAGTTATACATAGCTGTAGTTTACTTTATACACACTACCAAAAAGGACATTACAAGAATGGAAAAATTATGGCTATTCTCTTTCAAGAAGAGATGTAAAAATCCTAAATATTAGTGAATTTGGATCCAGCAATAAATACATTTGAATTGAGTTTATTTCAAGAATGCAAGGTTGGCTTAATACTTGAAAGCCAATCAGTGTAATTCACCATGTAACAGAATAAAAGAAGAAAACTCATTGATCATTTCAAAAGAAGCAGAAAAAATTTTAAATTTAATATCTAGTCATGATAAAATTTTTAGCAAGCTAGGAGCAGAAGAGAATATTCTTAATCTGATACAGCATTCTTTTTGTTGTTGTTTTTTTTTTGTTTGTTTGTTTTTTGAGATGGACTCTCACTCTCTTGCCTGGGCTAGAGTGCTGTAGCATCAGCCTAGCTCACAGCAACCTCAAACTTCTGGGCTCAAGTGATCCTCCTGCCTCAGCCTCCCCGGTAGCTGGGACTACAGGCACTCATCACCATGCCCAGCTAATTTTTTCTATTTTTTAGTTGTTTGGCTAATTTCTTTCTATTTATAGTAGAGATGGGGTCTTGCTCTTGCTTAGGCTGGTCTAGAACTCCTGAGCTCTGCAATCCTCCCACCTTGGCCTCCCAGAGTGCTAGGATTACAGGTGTGAGCCACTGCACCCAGCCTGATAGAGCATTCTTAAAAACTTGCCACAAAGAATAATGAAATATAAAAAGCTTTCTCCCTCAGATAAGGAACATGATAAAAATGCCTGCTATTGTCACTTCTGTTCAGTATTGTACTGGAGGTCCTAGCCAGTGTCATAAACACCAGACGTTAGGAAGAGGCAAGGAAGGATTTTTTCCCAGAGCCTTCAGAGGGAGCGAGGCCCTGCCAACACCTTGATTTCGACTTCTAGCTTCCAGAACTGTGAAGATATAAATTTCTGTTGTTTTAAGCCACCTAGTTTGTGGCAATTCATTAGGGCAGCCCTGGGAAACTAATATAGTTAGTGAAGATATGCAGCATCCAGAGCTGCTGGGAAGAGTGTGAGTTAGAACAACAGCTTTGGAGCACTGTTTGTTAGTATCTTCTGAAACTGAACATATGCCTGCCTTATGACTCAGCAGTTCCACTGTTAGGTAGTTACCCAGTGGAGTGCCATATGTTTACCATAGCAGCATTACTGGCATTAGCTCCAAACTGGAAACTACCCAAGTGTCCATCAGCAGTAGCATAGATTAGATAATGTTAATAAATGTTTATAAAATGGAAATTATTCAACAGTGAGAATGAACTGTTGCTATATGCAACTTCATGAATTACTCTCACAAAAATAATGTTGAGTGAAAGAAACCAGATAGTCAGCAGAGTATATACTGAGTATCTTCATATATAGTATACTAGTATACTATATGATTCAATTTCTGTAAGATTCTAGAGGAAGTACAATTAATTTTTGGATACAGGATAATGACTACTTTTATTATATATATATATATATATATTTTTTTTTTTTTTTGAGACAGAGTCTCACTTTGTTGCCCTGGCTAGAGTGCCATGGTGTCAGCCTAGCTCACAGCAACCTCAAACTCCTGGGCTCAGCAATCCTTCTGCCTCAGCCTCTCGGGTAGCTGGGACTACAGGCATGTGCCACCATGTCCAGCTAATTTTTTTTGTATATTTTTAGCTGTCCAATTAACTTCTTTCTATTGTTGATAAAGACGAGATCTCGCTCTTGCTCAGGCTGGTCTTGGACTCCTGAGCTCAAATGATCCACCCGCCTCGGCCTCCCAGAGTGCTAGGATTACAGGCGTGACCCACCATGCCCGGCCGATAATGACTACTTTTAAGGAATTGTAGTGACTGATGGGAACATAAAAGGGACTTCTACTAGTAATATTCAATTTTTTAATCTGGGTGCTGGTTACATGAGTATGTTTACTTTGTTAAAATTCATCAGTTATGACTGGTATAAATTTCCAGATGTATTTATATGTAATAGTACATTTTCTTTAAAGAAAAAAAGATAATGTTTTAACTTACTGGGACTTCTTGGCCCTTGACATCTTGCAGACTTTTCCCAAGTAGCTGCTGGTCCACCATCCTAATGTGGGATTCATCCACAAAGGATACATACTTTAATGTCTAGGAAAGGAAGGTTAACACATTTACCCACTTTTGTATGGAATTATTAAGAATTTCCTATCTAACCATATCTAAAGGCAACTGTTATTTCCATTTATAATACCCAAAGACAAACTATTGAACCAGCTAACTAAAAACTCTTGCTAGCCAAGATTGAATAACTTCTGAGTCTAAATGTAAATCAGAAATAGAACCTCATGCACCTTAACTTGTAGGTTCAGTCCATCCACAGATTACTGCCTAATGTTTTTAGGTCCCCCAAGCACTATGTAAAATTCCTTTGCTATGGTCTCTCAATTTTAGGTACTCTAGGTTAAATGTCTCCAGACAGTGACACTATTGCAACTTAAATTATTTATATGTTCATTAGATTTCATCCCATCTTAGGTGATTGTTTTTAGTTGGAAAGATGAACTTTTATTTCAAAATGTGAAAACATGTATAATGGACAATGAATTGTGTATTCAGCTGTTGGAAAAGGACAATGATGTTCTTGGATGAGGGAAAGACAAAGAAACTCTCTTTGTTTTTAGGTACCAGGGATTTGTCTTTGGGGGGAATCATGGTATGGAGTGCAGAGGACCTGCTTAGTAAAGTCCAGATTAATCAAAACAATACAGATAAGGCTAAAATTCCCTTTGACTACTCTCCCACCCTAGGCACCTTTCCAAAAGCAACCCTGTTACCAGTTTTGTGTGTGTTCAACACCTTTTGCATGGATATGTATACCCACACACACATATATATATGTGTATACATATTCATGTGTATATAAACTATACATGTAGAAAATATATAGAATTAGTTTATATGTACAAACATCTTGGTTACATAAAACAAAAAAAAAGAAAAAAAAAAGAAAGAAAAAAAAAAAGAATTAGTTTATATGTATAGCTTTTTAAACCTATATATCATACCATACATATTGTTCTACAGTTTGTTTTTTTACAAAATGTCTTGGATATTTACTCATGCAAGTACCTATAACTCAGTGGTTATAGATCCCATCTTGGAGTTTCAGCTCTGTGACTTATTAGCTGTATGACTTGGGGCAAATTATTTAACCTTCCCGTGTCTCATTTTCTCTTCTATAGAAAGAGAGAATAGCAGCAGGTTATTGTGAGGATTCAGTGAGTTAATATATACAGAGCATTTAGAAGTGCTACGTAAGTGTTGGCTATTATTATCTACCTCACTCTTTTAAACTGGTGCCTGGTATTCCTTACTAGGGGTTTATCATAGTTTCTTTCATCATTCACCTATTGGATGTTTGGGTAGATGCTATTTCTTCACTGTTAACAATCATTTATTAATAACTTAATAATCAGTGCTGCAGTGAACGTCTTGTACACATGTACTGCTTGGGTACTAATCTGAGAGTGTCTCTAGGGCGCATATGGAGAAGTGGAAATGCCAGACTGTAAAGTATGTCCCATTTAAATGTTATTAGTCACTGCCAAATTGTTCTCCAAAGTCATTGTACCATTTTTTTTTTTTTTTGCCTGTACCAATTTAACAAATGACAACATTGATAAGTCCTGGAACATAAAAATTTGCCTTCCCCACGTCTTGCCTCTCCATTTTTGTTTCTATTCTTCTGTAAGACCAAAGGATTCATCTGGGAAATGGTCGATTGGGGTGGAGTCTGGAGACTTATCCACTACAGGATTAAACCTGTGATTTTGGCCTAATTTTTGTGCATTTCTCAGTGATCGAATGGAACCTGGAGTGTTTGGGTACCCTATAAGCATGGCATGCCTTACCGGCTTTGGCTCCACAATGGACTCACACTTCTTCCTGTAGTAGTATTCATTGACCACGCAGGGTTCACAGCACTTGCAACAGGGATAAACATGGGATCGACAGCAGCTACTGGAGTACGTGTTGATGAGAAAGTCAATGAACACAGTGGCCTCGAGAAAACCCAGACAGGCACCAAGTTAGTGGAACTTCTTTTTGCCAAATCATTTTCAGAAAGCATGAGAAAGAGAATCTCTTACCAAACCAAAGTAGGAAAGGGTAGAGCCAATGTACACGATCAGTCGGATAATGTCAAATTTTCCTCCCTGAAAACAGAGTAAGTTAGTTTACTTGGTTGAAATTCAGAGCAGCGCTCTTTGCTTTCACATACGCAGTTGCTGGTGTAGTAGGGAGTGGAGCCTAGTGCCATGACTTTGATAGATGGGTTCAGGTGCTGACTGAGGTGCAGACTGCAACCATGACTCTCAATTACCCTGTTTCTGCTGTCCAGGGTGGGCTTGGACCATCAATGTTTTAAGCAAACAAGTATTGGAACCTGCACATTAAGGGGAGAACCACTGAAGATTTGTTATTTTTCCATTGAAGGTGAGGGTTTCAGACAAGCTTTCCCTAGAAGAGGTTTGAGATTACTTCAGAAGCAGAGGGAAGGAACGGCTGCACAGACTCTTCCCTTGGGTGGCCTTGTGGATTTTATTCTCAATGGTCTTTCCATTCTCTCAGTTGTAGTTCGTTGGTTCTTGTGCTGTTTATCAGCATGTTATATAAATGACGTGCTGTGAGGCACGGTGTTACAGATCTGTTGATTTTTTTTGCATACCCTTCCTTCCTTCTTCTGAAGACAGCACCACAATTTTTTTGGGGGGGGAAACCATCTCTCTTTATATTCATTCCATGTAGTTTGGTGGGGGGTAGGGAGTGCCTTGGCTCTCTCCTCTGGCCCCTGGGCTGGATCAGGGCTGGTTTAAGACCAGCCATTGAGAGTCTGACGTGACTCTGATTACAGTGATTACTTCAGCAGTGGGCATGTGACCCAAATCAGGCCAATCAGGGCCAAGGGCATCTGCCTGAGTCCTTTGCTCAAACTTTTTTGGATGCAGTGGCTCGTACCTGTAATACCAGCACTTTGGGAGGCTGAGGTGGGAGGATTGCTTGAGGCTAGGAATTTGAGACAAGCCTGGGCAATATAGCAAGACCCTGTCTCTACAAAAAATAAAAATTAGCTGAGTGTAGAGGCATGCGCCTGTAGTCTTAGCTACTCCAGAGGCTGAGGCAGGAGGGTCACTAGAGCCCAGGAGTTTAAGGTTGTAGTGAGCTATGATTGTGCCACTGTACTCCAGCCTGGAAATAGCAAGATCCTATCTCTAAATAAAAATTGGAGTTGCTAAATAAAAATTGGGGTTGCTGAACTGGTCAGATATAAGGAGTTGTGTGATACTACCATATAGAGATGGCCAGTCTAAGGATGATATGAAGACAGAGAACATATATAAGAAATGGAGGGGAGCATATTCCTGAGGATGTTGTTTGAACACCTAGATCTTGCCATACCTGAAGCTTAGAAGTTACCCCTGGATTTTTTTCAGTTATGTGAACCAAAAAACAAACAAAAAAGGACTCTTTTTCTAAGTCAATTTGAGTTGGATTCTGTTACTTACACACTATTTTGCAGAGGGTTTTCTTTCTCTCTCTTTTTAAGAAGCATCAGAGTATTTTTAAAGTTGAATATTAGAATTTTTTCCAGTGCCACTCTTGTACTCATCATGTGACCTATTCTTGGACAGGACTCCAGGGACATTTCTTCTTCCTCTTTTATGCCACATATGAAATGCACAGTGCTAGCTAATGATCAAAAGCATTCGCTCCTTGAAGGCACTATAGCCATAGTTAGGACACATAGGAAGGAGGTGCCTGGGGCTGGGAGCAGAGACTTACAGTTCCAAATACCAGGATGTCAAAACGGATCCCAAAGACTTTTATCAGAGTCCGTTTTTCGACATTGTTTTCCTTATAGTACTTGGCATATCTGTAGGAAGAAAAGGATCCATATTTATAAAGCTCTCTTTGAATGTGCTGGTATTTTATGAAAGAAAAAGCCAAATCATTAGCCACCTCATTCTCCTGGTCTGTCTTCCAGCTCTGCTGCATGGCAGAGGGAAGAACACAAGCCGAACCCCTGGATAATTCTCTCTGACCACTTGGAACCAGGAAGCTTCCACCTGTGTCCCCTGCTCTATATGCATCATCACAGATTGATGGGAAATCAGCTTTTAGCTTAAGATTAAAATGAACAATTTTTAACCAATACAGAATTAACAATAAGCAGAGAAATTTTTAAAAATAATTTCAAGCAATCTGATTATTCCTTAAGGGGGGAAAATAGATTTGGCTTCTAGAACAAAGATGGTGGGAGCGGAAGTGACGATGAATGTTAGGTACTAATTGCTGGATCGGGGACAGGTGCGCCTCAGCAGTGTGTTCTAACTGTATTTTCTTACGTTCTGTATTTGTCTATTTGACAACCATTAATCACAGGGCCAAAAACTAACGAGTTGTTAGTTGTTTACATCTTCAAAGTTGTTTCCATCTCCCCTGCAATATAGCTTTTGCAAGTGTGTGTAAATAATATTACAGACCCTCCAAACAATCCTGAATTCATACCCCCAACCACCTTCTTTATCTAACTCTCAACCTAGGAAGCCAGGATTTCTCCTCAGGACCAGGTAGGGCCCGGATCAGACAGCTAGAGACCACCCCTGCAACCCACAGCACACCAGCATTATTCAAACCAGTCAACTCCAAGCTGTTCCCTCAGCCCTTCCTGGTCCTTCCCATGGAAGACACAGTAAAGTTTCTGGGCCATTCTGTCCCCTTGATTCTGCTTCTTGGTTAAACCCATTGCTTTCCCCGTGTCCCTGCCTGGTGTGCCGTGGCATGGTATAGCCCCATCTCTTGGCAAATGTACATGATAACTTCTTTCAATGGCATTGACCTATCTATGTCATCAATCACCTTTATAAAGGAAGACCCAGGCACAAATCACAGTCACCCCAAATATGCAACTCTCACCAGTGCCAGAGTCAGGAAAAGTGGTGCATTATATTTTCCATGAATAATTAGGAAGACTTAAACCACATGTTTCATGAAACTTTTATTTTATTTTATTTTATTTTATTTTATTTTTTTGAGACAGAGTCTGGCTTTGTCGCCCAGGCTAGAGTGAGTGCCGTGGCGTCAGCCTAGCTCACAGCAACCTCAAACTCCTGGGCTCAAGCAGTCCTTCTGCCTCAGCCTCCTGAGTAGCTGGGACTACAGGCATGCGCCACCATGCCTGGATAATTATATATATATATTAGTTGGCCAATTAATTTCTTTCTATTTATAGTAGAGATGGGGTCTCGCTCTTGCTCAGGCTGGTTTCGAACCCCTGACCTCGAGCAATCCGCCCACCTCAGCCTCCCAGAGAGCTAGGATTACAGGCGTGAGCCACCACGCCCGGCCATCTTGGCATCTGATATTCCCATTCCAAGACAGTTCTTTCTTCTGCTGCTGTGTTGAGTGATTTGTTTTTTAATACACAAGCAAGCATGCATCACCACTGTATGCCCCAGGCTAGGCGCTATCTCCAAGTGCAATTTGGTTTGCCTGGGAAGGTTAACATGGTACAGTAAATACTTGAATTTCTGCTTTCAGGGTCTTATTACAGTGGTTCTGTAAACTGAAGCAAGAATCACTGGGGGTGGGAGGAGTGTGTTCAAAAGGCAGACTCCTGAGCCCCACTCCCAAGGAGTGGTTTCAGAAAGTCCGAGAGGTTTCTAAAAATCTATATTTCTAGAAAGGTACCAGGTGATTCTGATGGAGGTGGTCAGTGGGCCACACTCTGAGAAACACTGGACCCTGAACAAGAATGTTTTCCGCTGTAAGGATTTGTACAGTGGCCCCCAAAGAAGATATATGTTCAAGTACCTAACAACCCCTTAGTGCCTGTGAATATGAGCTTATTTGGAAATAGAGTTTTGCAGATGTTATTAAGTTAAGGAGCTCAAGATGAGATCATCCTGGATTTAGGGTAGGCTCTAAATCCAAAGAGTGATGTCCTTATGAGATAAAGGAAAGGGAGATTTAAGACACACAGGTTCAAAGGAGAAGCCATTTGAAGACGGAGGCAGAGACTAGCATGGTACAGCCACAAGTTAAGGAACACCTGCAGCTACCACAACTGGAAGAGGCAAGAGAGGATCCTCCCCTAGAGCTCCAGGGGGAACACGGCCCTGCTAACACCATGACCTTGGACTGCTGGCCTCTGGAACTGTGAGAGAATACATTTCTGGAAACTAGGAAACTAGTATAGGCGCATACTCACTCTGGACCTGAGAAGCCCCTCATACATTCTGTTCGGGCCTGCCCTGCTTTACATGTGTTGTAAATAAACTGAATAAGGACATTTCACTGAATAAGGACATTTTGCAAAGGACAGAATTCTATAATGTGATCAACTTCTTCAACTTCCTGTGTTTTAGAAAGTTAGATTCTCTCATATACCTCACATAACCTGTAATTTTCTTCTCTTTTGTGTGACTATTTGAAAATAACTTGTCCATTTGCCCGTCAGATCTTGACAATTTATTTTTGGCCAAAGATTTCTTCTGGTGCTCATTCTAGACAACAAATGCTCCAATACTTTGTTCTAAAAGAATATTAACATCATAAGCATCTCAGGTCTTCAGAAAGCTCAGATCTCTCCAGGAGCTAATGTTCTTAGGCTTAGCTCAGCCACTGGGAGGACATTTGTTGACATCTGATCGGTACATTGCCATGCGTGCTTCTACTGACTGCTAAAAGCAACGGCCTGGAAAGGCAGTCAGGGGACCACTGATCCTATGCTCTCTTCTTGCTAATGGCCTCTTGCTCTGTTCTCTATTTAGCCGGGCAGCAGGGGATGATCAAAAAGTTGCCTCAGTGAGCAGCTGCTTTCAGGGCCCTGATGAAACTCCATTGACCCGAGGAGACAAAAAGACATCGGCCAGCCTTGACGTCAAGCGTTCAAACTCAGATGCCTACAGTGGCCAGGCAGGGAACAGAACTGAGTGACGCTGGCCAGGTATAAGGCAACAAGGAGTGATGGGGACAGTGACAAACCAAAAAACTACATGCCCTTGCTAAAGGGGACCACTGGTACTCGGCTTCAGCCGAGGCTGGCACGGAGGCTGCGGACCCAGGGCATCCTTAGCTTTCCTGAGGACAGTGCTTTCCTAGTTAAGAAGAAGAAACTGCACACACAGGAACCCACATTATAGGAATCAATTTAGAAAAAACTTTAACTTCTCTGAATCCCTTAGTGTTTATGGTATAGACTAAGTGGTTCTCAAAGTGTGGACCCCGGCATCAGCATCATGTGGGAATGTGTTAGAAATGCACATTCTCAGGCCCACCCTCCATCCACGGTGGAGGCGAGGCGGGCCTCAGCAATCTGTGTTTTCATAAGCCTCCAGGGCAGTGTGATGCTCACTCAAGTTTAAGAACCACGAATTAGACCCTCAACACTCAATATGGGGTCCTAGAACCACCAGTTCCTATGCCTGTGCTTGGAGAGGCCTTCCTTGGCCATGTCTGTCCCATCACACTATCGTGTTTGATTTCCTTTGCAGGATTTATCATCATCTGAAATGGTCCTGTTGGACCGTTTGAATTTGTCCTATTGAAGAAAAATTTACATATAATAAAGTACGTAAGTCCTAAGGCAAATGAATACCTTGTATAACCTATACCTCTATCAAAATCTAGAACATTGCATCATCCCAGAAAACTCTCCTGTACTTCTTTCCAGTCAAGTTCTGCCTCCTCCACCCCACTCCCAATTCAGCAACCACTGTTCTGTCTTCCATCATCATAGGTGATAGAACTCAAACTTCATATAAATGGCATCAAGCATTATGTACTCATTAAAGTATGGTTTTTTTTTTACTCTACATAATGTCAGTGGGATTGATTCATCTATGTTGTTGAATGTAGCAGTAGTTAGTTCCTGTTTTATTTATTCTGAGTAGTGTTTTATTGTATAGATATACCAGAGTTTGTTTATGCATTCACCTGTTGTTAGACATTTGGTTGTTTTGGGGTTTTTGGCTATTATGAATAAGGCTGCTATGAACACCATAGACAAATCTTTGTGTGGATATATAATTTCACTTCTCTTGGATAAATATCTAAGAATGGGATTGTGGGATTTCTGGATTATAGGGTACATGTATGCTTAACTTGGTAAGAAACTTCCCAACAATTCCCTAATGTGGTCGTACCATTTTATATTTCCACCAGGAAAGTAGGAGAGTTCTAGTTGCTCTTCTCCTTGCCAACATAAGGGATTGCCAGTCTTTTTTAATTTTAGCCTTTCTAGTTGGTTTGTAGTTGTATTTTATTGTGGTTTTAATTTATATTTTCCTGATGACTAGTGATATTGAGTTGCTGGAACTTTTGATTTACTTGTATTTTGTCCATTTATTCCTTACTAGAATATAAGCACCATGAAAGTAGTGACCTTGTCTATTTTCTTTACCAATATATACCCATTGGCACAAGAAATATTTTTTATGCAATGTACATTTGATGACTGCATGCGTGAGGAATGCCAATATCAATTTCCTACCACCTTCAGTAGTCTAGTGGTGTACTTGGCAACTTTCTCTGAAAAGGGAACAGCATACACTTATTTTGTGTCTAGAACCAAGGCACAAAATGACCAGCTACAATCACAGTAACAGAAACATGTCTGGCACCCCACAGACAATGATAGGTCATAGAGACTGTGTTAGGGCCAACTAGCTACTGGGACAGAGTTGTAGGAACAGGCTGAAAAATGATCCAGACATAGGAGGTATGGTGGAAACTAGGTTAGTATGGCATAGGCAAAAGTCAGGAGCAAAGGAGCTAGCCGTGCAGAGGGTCAAAACAAGAATGAGTCAGCACCAGTCAGCAGGGAGGAGCGTAAGAGTGCAAATGAACCAGAACCCTAGTGAATTCATGAGGTTGAAGACCCGAACCCAGAAGGATGCATGATGAGCTACAAAGAAACTTCAAAAGAAAAACAACAACTTCCGGCCTGGTGAGGTGGCTCACGCCTGTAATCCTAGTACTCTGGGAGGCCAAGGTGGGCGATCGCTCAAGGTCAGGAGTTCGAAACCAGCCTGAGCAAGAGTGAGACCCCATCTCTACTAAAAATTGAAAGAAATTAATTGGCCAACTAAAAATATATATACAAAAAAAAAAAATTAGCCGGGCATGGTGGCTCATGCCTGTAGTCCCAGCTACTTGGGAGGCTGAGGCAGTAGGATCGCTTGAGCCCAGGAGTTTGAGGTTGCTGTGAACTATGATGATGCCACTGCACTCTAGCCCAGGCAACAGAGTGAGAAAGAAAAAAAAAAGAAGAAAAGAAAAGAAAAATGTAAGACAGCACTGCAGGGGAGGAAGCAGTGTGGCCCCCAGGGCATTGAGAGTCTTTGAAATGTTCTTCCCCAAAGGGACTCCCATCAAGATGGCAGCCTGAGCTAGAGCAAGAAGCCCTACCACCTCCACCCCTCTCCCACCTCATACACACAGAAGAGCAAGATAAAATATTTCTGAAAGGTCATATCAATACAGTACTGAGCTCAAAACAAGAAAGGACATTTTTTTCTAGGTGCTAGACATATGTAGTGAGTTGGATAGTAGCCATGTGACCCTTAAAATTACCTGAATCTGGTCTATACCTGAGGAGCTAGAGTTTCAACACGCTTATGGGGAAGGGGACTGGGGCTGCAGAAGCTCCACATAGCAAGGGAGCAGGAACTAGATTCTTTTAGTGGAAATCCAGAGCCCAGAAATTAAACTGAATACCGATTCATGATCGATAGACACCATACGGTCCTGGCAGGAACAACTACAAAATTACATAATTATCTCAGAAGAATGTTTCCATGTTGCACAGCACACACGGAATTTTACATAAGATTATTTCTACAGAAGACAATATCCCAAAGCCTACATGGAGAAATCCCACCCAAGATACCTCAGATAATAGGTCAATATCAAAGGAATTATACAGTAAAATGGACAAAAGGAGTAGGATCCATAAGGCAAGAATGGCACTCACTGGAACAATAATAGATGGCTTTGAAAAAGAACCAAATAAAAATCCTAGAACTGAAAAATATAGCCATGGAAAATTTTAAAAATCTGAAAGCAGATGATAAAATGTTCCTAACCTTTGATTCAATAAGTCTAGAAATTCGTCCTAAGGAAATAACCTGGAATTCAAAAAAAGATTTATGTGTACAGTGCAGAGTTATATATGATAGGAAAACTGGAAACAACCCAAAATGTCCCATAATGGAGGCATGAGTGAGAAAAATTATGAGATAGAAGGGGAAGAGTGTGAGTTTTGGGGCCAGAGTGATGGAGGGTAGAATTATGGAGTGTTTCTTGTCTGATTTTGGAAGCTAAACAGGGTCGGGCCTGGCTAGTAGTTAGATGGGAGAATTATGGAGTGTCTATTATAAGCTGTGGGCCTTGGGCAAATCACCTTCAAGGAACACTAATATCTACCTTCCAGGGTTGTTGGGAGGCTTAGAGATGGTGATAGCAACTGCCTGGTATATAGAAGGCCCTCCTAAATTGTAACAATAGTTATCAGTACACCCACACGATGGAATGTTATATTAATGTCATAATCACAAAGAATTTTGAATGACCAGGGTATTTATAAAAACCCCACAAAATACCAAATGACATATATAAAATGTATCTCATATGAGCCTCATGAAAGAATTGGTATAGACAAGGGAAATTCCCTTGATTGTCTCAGGTTAGAGGAATTATGGATGATTTTCATGCCCCTCAATGCTTTTCTGTTTCCCAAGTTTTCTTTTTGTTTTACAAAGAGTGTACAAATCTTTGATGATTAAAAAGAGAAAAAGGCCAGAGGTTCACACCTATAATCCTAGCACTTTGGGAAGCCGAGGTGGGAGGATCGCTTAAGGCCAGGAGTTCGAGACCAACCTGAGCAACATAGTGAGACCCCATTTCTACGAAAAATAGAAAAATTAGCCAGGAGTGGTGGCACGTGCCTATAGTGCCAGCTACTCAGGAGGCTGAGGCAGGAGGATCACTTGAGCCCAGGAGTTTGAGGGTGCAGTAAGCTATGATGATACCCACTCTTACCTGGACAACAGAGTGAGATCCTGCCTCAAGGAAAAAAAAAGAGAGAGAAAGTCATGCAAAAATGCAGTCACTGCCTAGCTCTTAGAGGAAGGCTTTCTTCATTGTCTTGTTGCCTTGGGAACCAACACTAGTCTTACTGATTGTTGGGGCTGCAGTACAGCCTGGCCTGAGGCTTCCTGTGAAGCCAATGGCTGACCACTGGGTTAGTCTGACCCGGAGTTACCTGAAGTTGTAGCCAGGGTACAAGGACTCATTGGTGGTCTTGTCGTCCAGGCGACGGAAACTGTATTTGGGACGGCAGTGGTGGAACCAACTGTCCAAGTCACAGTCCCAGTAGATCTCAATGCCCATTATTCCACCCTGGGGAAGTCAATAAGAGACAGTCTCCATGTCTGCTGGACGTGCATAGCAGTGATCACTGAAGGAAAGGGTTTCTTTTGTTGAGGAAAAATGCTGCTTAAAGGCTTCAGAGCCACAAGGGCAGCCCTATGCAACTCGCACAAGCATTACCATGGCAGCTGCAATGCATCTCCTCCTATCTGGGACACACCACCATTGGACTTATTTTCCTAAAATACAACTTTCAACAAACCACTCCTGTATTCAAACACCTTTAATGGCCCCCTTATCGAAAACGAAGTCAAAACTTGTTAGGGTACCTCGTGAAATGTCTTTTCTGCTTTACCTCCCATATTCCCCTAGGGAAAGCTCTTTGCAGGCATGATTAAATCAAGAGTTTGAGATGGGGGATTATCCTGGATTATCTAGGTGGTCCGTAAATGTCCCCTCTCATAAATGCCTTTACAGGTGTCTTTATAAGAGGGAGGTTTGACACAGATAAGGAGTCACTGTGACCACTGAAGCAAAGTGCTACACTGCTGGCTTTGAAGATGGAGGAAGGGCCTATGAACCAAGAAATGCAAGGAATGCAGCTCTAGAAGGTAGAAAAGGCAAGGAAATGCGTTCTCCCCTAGAGCTGTAGAGGAAGCATGGCCATGCCGACACCTTGATTTCTGCTCAATGAAACTAAATTCATGAGTCTGAATTTGGTAGCTTAAAAAAAAAGAAAAAAAAAAAAGAAACTAAATTCAGACTTCTGACTTCCAGAAATGTGAAAAAAAAAAGTGTTATTTTAAACCATGAAGCTTGTGTTAATTTGTTACAGCAGCTACAGGGAACTAATACACCAAGTAGCTCACTCACAGGGCGGTTGTGGGGTTAGATGAGGTAATGTAGGTAAAGCCCTCTCCGTGGTGCCTGGATTTACTAAACGCTCAGGAAATGAAAGCCATATTATGAAGACCTGATGGCCTGGTGTTTTGGCCAGTTGACGTCCTCCATCTCCTGCCACACACCCCTCCATACCCCACTGTACAAAGACACCACTAACCTGAATTGCCACCTCTGAAAAATTATCTCCTGTTTCTCGGAAGATATCTCCTAGTCGGAAAATGGGACACTGTGGATTCTGCGTCTTGTGAAAGGTACAAGTAATGTTTAAACCATGCAAGATGTTTCTCCTGTGCATAATTCAAAGCAAACACACACATAAACATCTCTACTGAAAACAGATCCACCCAGAAAAGTCATTCCCAGATTCCTTGGAGACAATAAACGTTTGTTGTTTTGGGACTTCTGAGGTTTGGAGTAATTTGTTACACAGCAGTAGATAACTAACACAGCCAGGCATCCTGGGCACTTACGTGGTGTAGTTATGGCCAGGGAAGTCAATATTGTTCTTGATGAGCACGGTGAAGTTTTCAGCGCTGTTCAAGAGTGCAGGTCTGGGAGAGAGAAATGCAGAATGCAGTGACTATAAGGGACAAGGGAGTCCGTGGGCCAAGAGGACCAGAGGCTTCTGATTTCTTGTTTTTGGTCTTTGGGATGAGTGAAGAGACATGGATACAGTAACCCAGTGGGCCAAGCCTTCCAAAATTCTGCATAAAGCCTCTCCAGCTTCTCCAAGAAAAATTTCTGCCTTCTTGAGACCCAGTGGTATTTACTGTGACACTTTTGACCCTCTGATATAATTACACGTTTAGGTATGTGCAATGGTTGGGACCTGCTCCATATCTGGGACTTCTTGTATGTTACATAAAATGTAGCGCAGTCTCTCGTGCACAGTAAAATAAATATCTGACACCTACTATGTGGTAATGGATGTGTTGAATGAATGGTTAAATGAGCCATCTTAGCTAAATCATATGACATAGAAGAAACTGAAGTTTAGGGAGTTGCTTGCCCAAGGTCACATCAAAATGCAGCCCAGGGACAGGCACACTTATCTAATGAGTTGATGGCAGAGCTGGAACTGAAAACCATAGTCAATCAGAGGGCCCCTTGTCTTGAACCAAGGACTATGTGAGTGTAGGCTGCTGGGCACCCTGATCTGGGAAATTCCTTCTGTGACAAAAAATGTTTCCTGACCTAGAAATGAACCTGGGTGGAGCCATTAATGATTGGGGGCCAGAGAGGGTGACGCTGCCTGGCACACCCACCCTTCCATAGGGAACCTCTGCCTGAGCCTTCCACCCGCCAGCTTGGGACAGTTTTCTCTTTGCCCCATGAATGCTGAGGTAGTGGTCCTAAGTCTCATTGGTCTAGAACTATGCTGTCCACTATGGTACCCACCAGGCACATGTGGCTATTTAAATTTGAATTAAATTAAATTAAAAATTCAGTTGCTCAATTGCAGTAGCCACATTTCAATTGCTCAATAGCCACGTGTACTTAGGGGCTACTGTTGGGACAGTGCAGGTATAGAACATTTCCATCATTGCAGAAAGTTCTATTGGGCAGTGTTGGTCTAGAACCACCACCCTTCTAAGGGCAGATTGTGTATATGAGCACATGTGCACATGCGCACATGTGCGCGTGTGTGTATGTGTGTGTGTGTGTGTGTGTGTGTATAAGCCACGCATGGGACTCACTTTACAATAATTATACAAATATCATCTCATTCGTTGCTTACAACAGCCCCATGAGGTAGGTGAAATTATCCTCATTTTACCAATGAGGACCCTGAAGCTCAGAGGGGTTAACTATTCTCTGCTGAAAAGCATTGGCCTTTGTAGCTTCTGAGATTTAACATTGTGACTTTGTGTGTTGAAGGGAAGAATCAATACAGGTGGTTGCCAAATCTGTATGTCACTGTGAACATTTAATTTAAGAAAGCTTTCCCTCTCCTCCCTCTGTCCTCTTCTTTCCCTTCTTCATCCTTCCTTTCCATCTTCCTTCTTCCTTCCTGTCTTTAATCATTCAGTAAGGACATTGACCAGTCAGGTGGATCCTCCTGTGGCACTAAAGGAGGGGTCTGGAAGTGCCCTGCTGAGACAGCCAGGAGGATGGGGGCACCCAAGGGTGCTAAGAGTAGTAGCTACTTACTAGCTGGTTCAGAATTATTTCGGTATTTTAACAACTGGCATGGCCCTCCCAAAGACACTGCTTTGTGGCAAGCAGTCCCCCTTACTTACAGGGATCCCCAAGCAAATAAGACCCAGGGCTTTGTGGGGTTGTGCTGAGAAGGGAAATCCCCAGCAGGGCTTCATCTGGTCACTTCTGAGGGCCACCATATCTGTCTCCACCATGCAACTCACCGGGGGGCCTCCTCTACTGCCTCAATGGGACACCAGGCAGCGACTTCGCAGGTCTTCTGGTTCCCTTTATATACTATACACCTTCCGGTCTGGATTCCTATGGGAGTTGAGGGGTCGCAGAAGCACAGATGTGAAAGAACTGCGGTGAGGAAGTTATCCGGGAGGGGTGGCATTAACTTAGCCCAAGCAAGAGACTGTTTATGCTTTTCAACCAAGCAGCTTCAGCTTCCATGAAACCCCATCCTGACCACAAATGTACACAGGGCAAGGCAAACAAGCAAAACACTGAAGAGTAAGCTTTTTTTTAAAAGGCCCGGGGAAAGCACAGAAAGACTGGATTCTGTTGGCTCTCTTGGTTTCTTTATAATAAAAGGTGCCTGATAGAGCAGCTAAACAGAGTGTATTCTCTCACCTGGTATAAATGGGCTAGAATCTGGCTTCTCAAAGAGGCAGCTGAGTCCCTCAAAGGGTACACAGCCTGTCTAGGGATGTGCGAAGCTACGGAATAAGCATGGCACATCTTCCTGGAGTGTCAGGAAGATTAACAGATTTCCAAGGGAGAATTAATTAAATAGCGAGTAATGTTAAAATGATCTCCATGCCAGCTCAAATACACATGCGCTATAGAATAGTATGTAATGTTCATATGCCTCTGTGTGTGTGTTTTATAACCACTGATGTTTTTTTCTTTTTTATGCCTTTTTTTATTGTCAGTTTCCTTTTTAAGTTAAAACATGAGATAAGGAAATTCTGCAGATTAATGTGAGTATTGCTTCCGGGTTCCCTGGGTTCATGCTCCTCAACCCTTAGGGAAGTTCAGGGGAAAAGTTTAAAATATGCAGATGACGCTATGGGCCATGTGATTTTTCTATCCATTAGAACCCTGAACCTGCTAGGTTTTCAGGAGCTTTTCTCACTGGGAAATTGGAGTCACATTCACAGTCAGCAGCTGGTCTGCAGGGGACAGAGCCAAGGCATGGGGCAGACACTGGCTAGCATATGATGACGGTGGAAAAAGGCAGCTGAGAGCCAAAGGCTAAAGACCTGAACTTTGCATCGCAAATGTCACCAAGATGCCAGACCATCCACCCCCAGGGGCTCTGGAAAAGAAACAGAAGGTACCTTTGCTCTTTGGGTCCATCCATCCCTTTTTACAGCCCCGGTCAGAGGAACAGAGCGTCCTGCGGGTGGGATACTGCAGGAAGAAGGATGAGATAGTGGGCAGTAAGTGGCGTGTGCTACTAAGATACCAAGAAGTGGATGTCCACGTCCACACAAAAACTTGTACGTGAATGTTCACAGCAGCACTGCTCACAACAGCCAGAAAGTGGAAACAACCCACATGTCCATTGATGGATGAATGGAAAAATAAGTGTAGTACATTCATACATGGAATCTTATTCAGCCGTAAAAAGGATGAAAGACTTATACGTGCCACAACATGGATGAATCTTGAAAATGTTAAATGAAAGAAGCTGGTCAGAATAGGCCACATATTATGTGATTTCATCTATATGAAATGTCCAGAATAGGCAAATCCATAGAGACAGAAACCAGATTGGTGGTTGCCAAGGGCTGGGGTTGGGGGAGTGCTAATGGGGGTGTGACTGCTAATGGGGATGGGATCTCCTTTGGGGGTGATGGAAATGTTCTGGAATTAGATGGTGGTGATGATGGTTGTATAACTCGGTGAATAAACTAAAAACCACCAAATTGTACACTTTAAAATGGTAGATTTTATAATATATGAATTATATCCCAATAAAGAACAAAAATAAATAAAAATTTGAGGCTGAGCGTGGTGGCTCACGCCTGCAATCCTAGCACTCTGGGAGGCCGAGGCAGGAGGATTGCTTGAGCTCACGAGTTTGAAACCAGCCTGAGCAACAGTAAGACCTTGTCTCTACTAAAAATAGGAAGAAATTAGCCAAATAACTAAAAGTAGAAAAAATTAGCTGGGCATGGTGGCGCATGCCTGTAGTCCCAGCTACCCAGGAGGCTGAGGCAGGAGGATTCCTTGAGCCCAGGAGTTTGAGATTGCTGTAAGCTAGGATGATGCTACAACACACTAGCCCAGGCAAGAGAGCGAGACTCTATCTCAAAAATAAAATAAAATAAAATAAAATTTGAAAAGCAGATGTCTGGGTAGCCAGGGACCACTTTTAGGGATGGCCCTTAGGGTAGAGGACAGGTGGCCTGGTCCAAGTGGCCCTATGATTGCATTTCTGAGCAGTGCAAACAGGTGCAGAGACTCAGCAGGACATGTGGAACTGAGGGACGTCAGCCAGCACACTCTCCTGGCCTGAGAAAACGAGGCCAGCCCAGTTTCAGGGCTGAAGGACAGGGTAAGGAAAAGAGAAATGAGATGATTTGGTTTATGCATATTTGACTTCCATTTTCTAGGCTTAATGGCCAGTCTTAGAGAAGCCAGAACATGGCATGAGTATAAAAATAGCCTCTGCTTCTTGTCCTCTCTGCAGTTTGTGGCTTTTACAGTGATTCAGAGCAAGGACCTAGGTCTTGGACCCAGGTACACCTGAGTTTTGTGATAACTGCACCATTTTCTAGCTGAGTGACCTCAGTCAAGTCACTTCACCTCTGTGAGCCTCAGTTTCCTCATCTGTAAAAGGAGGGTGAACAGATTTGTCTTGTATGGTTGTTGTGAAGGTTAAATGAATTATGAAAAAAGGGGTTTAGCACATAATATTTGCTCAATGAATGTTTCTCATAGTTTTCAAACTCTCTTATGATCTCTTTTCTTCCCAAGCTACCTTCCTCATATTACCCAGCATGTCCCTGGCCTCCTCCCCTTGTGACCATCCAAATTAGACTATGAACCCTTTGAACAAAACCTGAGTCATATCTTTGTAGCCCAAGTGCCCAACACCTAATAGGTCTTCATAAATATGGAATGAATGAATACATGAATGAGTGATCATTCACTGTGGCTCATGGAAAGTTATGTTATTTTCATTATCAACTGGAAATAAATCTCAAGAAAGAAGGAAACCAATTTTATTTTGCTCTCCAAAAGAAATTCTAAAATAAAAAAAATCCATTAGTTTTGTTCTAATCTCTTCTGTGATTGTTGCACCAATTAAATATGGCCACAGGCCGGGCACGGTGGCTCACGTCTGTAATCCTAGCACTCTGGGAGGCTGAGGCAGGCGGATTACTGAGTTAATCGAAACCAGCCTGAGCAAGAGTGAGACCTGAGCAAGAGCGAGACCCCATCTCTACTATAAATGGAAAGAAGTTAATTGGCCAACTAATATACATGAGAAAAAAATTAGCCGGGCATGGTGCGCATGCCTGTAGTCCCAGCTACTCAGGAGGCTGAGCAGGAGAGCCGCTGAGCCCAGGAGATTGGGTTTGCTGTGAGCTAGGCTGACGCCACGGCACTCACTCTAGCCTGGGCAACAAAGCGAGACTCTGTCTCAAAAAATAAATAAACAAAAATAAATAAATATGGCCACAAATTCTCGGTCACTCTCCCAGTTGAGATGTGAAGTGTTTCCTCCTCTTTCTGAAGCGAGGCTGGTGAGATACAGTAGATGTTGCTATGCAAAGAGAGGAGGGGAATGTCCAATTAGACCAACTCAAACCAACTTGGGGGATAGGTTAAAATCCCAGAGAGTTACATGTTATTCTCTGGGCTAGCAGTGTACCCACAGAGCCCTTTGGGTTCCAACCACTCTAGGTGACATCCTGTCTGAGGAGGAGTAACATGTCATTTCAATCATAACAGCTCACATTTATTGAGTGCTTACAATGTACTATGCCTTAAGTGTGTCACAGGTATTCACTCATTTGTTTCAATAGTTCTAAGAGCTAGGTTTTGTTATTAGCCCCATTTTACAGATGAACACATCAAGGCACAGAGAGGTGAAGTCACCTGCCCAAGGTCACAGAGCTAAGAAGTCAAGTTTGGAACCATTAGCAATCTTGTTTGCAAGCCCAGGCTCTTAATCTCTGGCTATCCTACCCTCTTCCTTATGAGTCTCAATACCTTGAAAAGTATCTTTGTGTGTACGCAGGGATGGAATGTAGCATAGAGATGACCAGAGCATGGGGCAAAAGAGAACCTCCTACCTGCACCTCCTCTAGGGACTCTTATCACCCACCCATCCAGCCAGTCTCAGTCCCTTCCTTACCTCAGGACACAACCGCTGCTCTTGGCCTTCTGTCTTGAGAAAGTTTGTCATCACAAAGAAGGAGTTCCCCTGCAGAGAAAAAGGAGAGGGAAGGAAAATGTGAGGCCTTTGAGAAGAAAACTCCTTAATTATAATAATCTAGCTTGCTAAGTACCTGGGGGCGAACCTTTCCAGTCTTCTTAGCTTCTAGAAACCAGAGTCTGTGGGCAACTTGCAATAGGCCGAGGGCTTAATATCAAAGCCTGATGAGCCTCCCTGCTGAGCCGAGGGGAATGAAGGAACAATTCAAATGGTGGAGGAGTCATTTTCCATCTAGCCTCAAAAGCAGCCTTTTTGGGGCTTTTTGGACACAATCAAATCCCATTAAATTGAAATGCAAGAGACCTGTGGAGGTGGGAGTAGGGGAGTAGACTTCATCGAACACTGTTCACATTTTCCAAGACTTTAATTAAAGGGCGATAAGGCAGCCCACCACCTGAGCAATGGCAGGATTTTAATGAGCCACTGTTAGAAACAAACAGCAGCTTTGGCTTTATGGGTTTTTGCAAAGCTTTCCATCTCCCTGGGACTGCAAACGTGCGTGCCCTTTTGTCCCTACTGTCCGCCCACCCACCCCCCCATCTGTATTTTGCAATCCTCAACCCCACTTTAATTTCTCTGATTTGGCAATTCTGCTTTCATTTTCTCTGCTTGCAAATTTAGACAGTCACATGCCTTTTCTCTGTGACCCACACCTTTCCTGTCATTACCAATTACATCCTTTCTTTGTGCAAAAATGTGCACAAGAATGGGCTCCTGGAGACGTTTTTTGTTGATGAAATGCCACACAAACAAAGGTGCCTTCTGGGTAGAAAATTCCTTGCCCTTTTGAATCTAGGCAGACCTTGCTGACTTATTTGGGGGCTCTGCTTCTAAAAAGCTGTGTATAAATGGAGTGTGAGTGAATCAAATCATGTTTTAAATGCACCAGGACACGCTTCTATTTTGAGAAACCCTGTAGGACTTGATAAAGCAAAGAATCATCTCCTTTAAGCTGCTGGATCTGACCCAGTTCTGCAATTTTTAGGTTTTCTCAGTTGGGATTTTTACAGAGCTTTAAAAATAGGGCCGATGTTTTTCTGGAATGAGGCCTAGGTCCCAGGGGAAGAGAGTAAGGCCCTGGTGACAGTGGCCAGGGGCGAGTCCTGGGAGAGTGCTGCCAGGTGCTCACCTGCAAAGGGAAGGTATAATCCGCAGTGTCAAAGACGTGCTGCACCGACTTCTTCACTCCATTCTCCACGATCTCCTCTTTCACCTCCGCTATCCCTTTGACCTTGGTGTGCACAGAACTGATGACAGGCTCTTTCTGCTGGTACAGCTTGTCACTCACCAAAGCAAAGCTAAGTGGCAGATACAGAAAAGCATCAGTGGTCTTGAGGGAGGCACGGTGCAGTGGTTTGGAATAAAGGCTCTGAAGGCCACTTCCATTCAACTCTGCTGTGACTTACTTCTCTGTGACTCATGTTCCCTCTCTGCAAAACGGGAAGAATATCATACCAACCCCATGGGGTTGCTGTGAGGATTAAATGAGGTACGCATGCAGACTCCTCAGCACAGTAACCGGCACACAGGGAGCACTCACTGCAGGAAAACTACTGCCCCTGATCCTATTCTTTAACATTGCCTAATATGAACCTAATGTATAGGGCAGCTTCTCAAAGTAATAAGATCCAGCTCCAGGTGGGGCCACCAGCTTTGTCCTGAGGCTCAGGAATACATCAGCACCTTCCAGTCTAAAGCTGTGTCTTGTGAGTCAGCCACCTGCTTTTCAGAAATACCCACTGCTTTATAAATAATATTGATAATAGCACCTACTCTTTATTGAGCACTTAATACATACCAAGTGCTCTACCTGCATCTTCTCCTTTAATCCTCGACAATAGTATGAGATGGTTACTATGATCATTACCCTTTTGTAGATGAGGGAATGGGCTCAGAGAGGTGAAGGAACTTGCCCAAGGTCACGCAGAGACACAGTGACAGAACCGAGGTTCATGAATAGGTGTACCTTATAGCCCAGAGCCAGCAGTTCTCTTAACCACGTGCTAGACTTTTTCATAAATGACGTGGCTCTGCCTCTGGTTTCCTGCCATTTGGTCAGTTTATTAACTGTTTTGTTTGGGGGGGGGACACAGTCTCACTCTGTTGTCCAGGCTACAATGCTGTGGCGTCAGCCTAGCTCACAGCAACTTCAAACTCCTGGGCTCAAGCAATCCTTCTGCCTTAGCCTCCCAAGTAGCTAGGACTACAGGAATGCACCACCATGCCCAGCTAATTTTTTCTTTTTATTTAGTATTTTTATTTATTTTTAATTTTTTTTGAAACAGAGTCTCACTCTGTTGCCCAGGCTAGAGTGCCATGGCATCAGCCGTGGCATCAGCCTAGCTCACAGCAACCTCAAACTCCTGGGCTCAAGCAATACCTCTGCCTCAGCCTCCCAAGTAGCTGGGACTACAAGCATGTGCCACCATGCCTGGCTAATTTTTTCTATATATTTTTAGTTGGCCAATTAATTTCTTTCTATTTTTAGTAGAGACGGGGTCTCGCTCTTGCTCAGGCTGGTTTTGAGCTCCTGACCTTGAGCGATCCTCTCGCCTCAGCCTCCCAGAGTGCTAGGATTACAGGTGTGAGCCACTGCGCCCAGGCCTGTTTGTTTGTTTTTTGAGACAGACTCTCGCTTTGTTGCCAGAGTGAGTGCTGTTGTGTCAGCCTAGCTCACAGCAACCTCAAACTCCTGGGCTCAAGTGATCCTCCTGCCTCAGCCTCTTGAGTAACTGGGACAGGTGTGAGCCACTTCACCTGGCTAATTTTTTGTTTCTATTTTTAATTGACTGGCTAATTTTTTCTATTTTTAGTAGAGACGGGGTCTCGCTATTGCTGAGGCTGGTCTTGAACTCCTGGCCTCAAGCAATCCTCCCACCTTTGGCTTCCCAAAGTGCTAGGATTACAGGTGTGAGCCACTGTGCCCAGCTGTGTTTTTTATAATTTATGATGTTTTGATATGTTAGGGGGCCTACCTGGCTGGGAAGACACTGACGCCACTATGGATAATTATTATTAATATATTATCTATGATAAAGATAGACCTATGATACACAGTCATTTTAATGACTAAAGAGTATTCTAGTGTTCAGACTGAACATATGAAACTGCCCATTTTGTAGACCATAACTGTAGAATACAGGCAATTCCATATGCTTCAACCTAAGGGGTACATTATGATAATTTTCCAACCAGTTTCTTATGGATAGATATTTAACCAGAAGCTTTGTTCAAATTTCCCAATTACAAACATTTTTTTGGTAACGTTAATATAGTCCTTACTCTGTGCCAACCACTCTTCTAATGTTTTACAAACACATATTAACTCTTTCAATCTTCATTCCCCCCACCAAACAAACAAACAAACAAACAAACAAACAAACAACAACCCTGTAAAGAAGGTACTGTTACTCCCACCTAATAGCTGAGCAAACTTTGGCGGGAACAAAGGGAGAAACTTGTCTAAGGTCACATGTTGAACACCAGCACTCAATTTGAACACAGCCATGTGGCACCACAGACTCAGCTCTTTCAAATACTATGGTAAATTGAATTCTTTTTTTAAATTTCCCTTTCAAATGTTCATTGCCGGTGTATAAAAACACAGTTGATTTTTGTGTGTTGATCTTGTTCCTTGCAACTTTACTGAATTGGTTTATTAGCTCTAATAGTTTTTTTGTGAATTCTTTGGGATTCTCCATATATGGGGTCATACAGTCTATAAGTGAAGATACTTTTACTTCATCCTTTGCCATTTGGATGCCTTTTATTGCTTTTTCTTGACTAATTGCTCTGGCTAGAACTTCTAGTACAATGTCGAACGGCAGCAGTGAAGGCATCCTTGTCTTCTTCCTGACCTCAAGGAGAAAGCTTTCAATTTTTCACCATTAAATGTGCTCAGTCTATGCTCCTACCCACTATGCTTACTGTCTGTCCACCTGCATTCATGTTTCCTGGAACACTCGCATAAGCATCTTCTCACACCTGAGATGTTAAGTGCTCAGGATAAACTTCTGGGTCGAATGATATGCACATTTTATATCTCAACTCATTTTGCCAAACCACGAAAATTTGAACCATTGCATTTTACCACCAGCAAAACAAGAGTGTGTGTACCACCAATTAAGAGGGGCTTGACAAACAAAAGGGTGGTTATATGGACTTGGTAGGGCAACATGTTGGGAGCACATGGCCAGAGGGATTGGGGATATTAGTTAGAGGAAGAGGAGAGACATAATAGCAGTATGCAGCCATTTGAAGAGTATCACCTAGAAGAGGGAACACAGGGCAGAACTCTAACAGAAGGTCAAAGTTATAGGGAAATAGATTTGGGCTCAATACAAGGAAGAAATGTCTAACAATTAGAGCAGTCCCAGCACACAGCAAGCTTTTCTTGTGGTTGCTAGCTGGTGATGGTGAAGGTGATGATGATGGTGATGATGATGATAATTTCCATTTATCCCATCAACATCTTCCTCTCTTCTGTCTCCTCTCCACATGCACTTAAACATCATTTCTCATCTTAAAAATAAGCCCCCCTCGATTCCACCTTCTCCTACCACCACTCTATGCCTCTGTTCTCGTAGCCAAATCCCTTGAAAGAGTGAGTCATCACATCCATTTCTGCATCTCCATTCACTCCTCCACCCACTCCAGTCTGGCTCCCACCCCCACCACTTCTCTAAAGCCTCTTCTGCCAAGTAAATAATAACGTCATTGTCACTAAATCCAACAGACATGGCACAGACCTGATCTTCCTGGAACTGTCAGCAGTAGTTGACACTGTTGACCACATACCACTTCCCTCTACTTCCCTTAGCTTCTGGAAATCCACATTCTTTCTTTCTTTGTTGAGACAGGGTCTCACTATGTTGTCTGGGCCAGAGTATAGTGGTGTCATCATAGCTCAGCCTGGAATTCCTGGGCTCCAATGATCGTCCTGCCTCAGCCTCCCAAGTAGCTGGGACTATAGGTATGCCCCATCATGCCCGGCTATTTGTTTTTTTAGAGATGGAGTCTTGCTATGTTGCCCAGGCTGCTCTTGAACTCTGAGCCTCAAGCAATCCTCCTGTATTGGCCTCCCAAAGTGCTGGGATTACAGGTGTGAACCACCACGCCTGGCCCACATTGTCACTTTCTTTGGATCTCTGTGGCTACTCTTTCTCAGAATCCTTTGGGGACTTCTGCATCCTGACTCCTTAAAGGTTAGTGATCCTCAGGGGTCTGGTCTAGGCCCTCTAGCTTTCTCATCTGTGTCCTCTGTTTCTGGTCAGTTGCAGCTACTTCCATGGCTCTCGTTACCATCTATATACTGGTGATATATAAATCTATCGATATCTCCAGCTCCTGATTTATCTCCCCAACTACCCATTCGATATTGATGTTTATGTGTCACATAGACACCTCCAACTCAATGCCTTCAGTTATGAACTCATCTTCCACCCCAAATTGGATTTTTCTCTTGCATTTCCTATCCTAGTCAGTTGTTCCACCACCCATGAGTTGCCCAAGCCAGAAACATGGTACACTCCATGGCCTTGGGCAAGTTACTTACCCTTTCTGAGTCATCATTTCTTCCTCTATAATAAGGGGATTATTAGTATTATATTGGGGAGGGTTTTCTAGTTCTAAACAACAGAATCCACTCTGTCAAGCTTAAGAAGAAAGATTGTCTAGAAAAGACAAATCCGAGAGGCAGGGAGTAGATGAGTGGCTGCCTGGGCTGAGCAGCCACTGGGCGTGGGAATGGGGAGTGACTGCTAATGGGTCTGAGGGGTCTTACTGGCATGAAATGTTCTGAAACTGGACTGTAGTGATGGCTGCACAACTTGATAAATTTACTGAAACTCACTGAAATGTATACCTAAAAAATGGGTGATTTTATGATATTTAAATTATATGGAATAAAGTTGTGGAAAAATTTTGATTTTTAAGGCATGATAGGCAGTTCATACAATCTCTCAGAGGACCAACAACCAGGTTTACTTGAACACTATGCAGCCAGGGAGCAGGGACTGTTCTAGAGAAAGATCTCTGCCAGCCACTGCCCTGCCCTAATGTGGGAATTCATAAGCAAGGAGCGGCCCCTGCCAATGCGTTTGGGACTGGGTGCCAGGATCTCAGTCGCTGCCCTTCTTCAGTGAGCTGGATGCTGTCAGGGCCATGCCTCCTGCACTAGGCTGAATAATGTCTCCAACAATATCAGGTCCTAATCCCCAGGATGTTATTCAGGGGGTGGGGAGGAAGAGTTTTTGCAGATGTGATGAAGTTAAGGATTTTGATGGTGAGATTATCCAGT